CTTCCTAAGAAAATTATTTACCTGCCTTATAATTCACAAATTAGTGACACTTTTTCATTTTCTATATTTAATAATGATACATCCGAAAGCTTATATTGTTATATGATTCTTGATTCTGATAATTTTGGTGATTTCTATCGCTATTTTCAATTCGTGCCTGCCAAACACCTTTGTTGTATTATGCCATTACTCAAAGTTATTAATTTTATCTACGATAAGTGTGATTTTCATTATCAATTTCGTGTTTCAGTGTTGAATACTGTAATAGGGAAAATTATTGGAACCTTTCAGCTTCAAATCAGAATTATTTCAGATGGCGTGAAAAGCACTCCTCTTTTCCCACTCACTTATTCTCATTTCAACGTTACACAAAAGAATCGGCAGGGTATGATACTTACTCAAATCAAGGCTGACTTTTCATACAAAGATATAAAGAGCCACCTCATGTATTTCTTTTTGGACTCAAATAGTTTGATTTTTGATGATTTATATATAGATCCAGTGACCGGCATTATACGCATTTTTGAGGTTAAACCTAATGTGACTTTCAAAAAGTTTCGTATTGGAGCTTCGTTGTGTGATAGATGTTCAGTCTTGGGTTTCACTACAATAACATCTTCTTTTAGCACACTTACTGGTCTTAATAAGACATCAAATGTCTTAACCATAATAACTTCATGTATAAATTCTATATATACTTCTCTTAACTACAAGATATTGCCATTGACAGAACCACCAGATGCTTATATAACAGTCCCCTTATTATTCCTTGTACAGCGCAGGATAAGTGTTGCTATTCTACACTTTTCTATGCCTGGTGACTTAAAGGATTTAAAGGGAGAAATAGTGAATCCAATTTCCGGGACTATGTACCCACTTGGAATAAGGTTAGTTCAACGCAACCCACAGATATTGCTATTGCAATTTGATATCAACGACACAATTCATTCCATAGATTCAGAAATATTTTATTGCTTTCTTATTTCAACTGATAATTTTCGTAAAACCTTACATTTAAGGTTGATTTTTAAAAACAGCCAACCTCATCCTACTTTTACGAATAAATCAGTATCTTTAGCAAGATTCATTGCAGCCACTCATACGAATCATTTAAGTAATAATTTTTTGCCAGTAGGGAGCTTTATTATTTCTATCTTTCCTACTGTTTCCCCATTGAAAAGCCTTTTTTTTAAACTAGTTGATTGCAAGAATATCTTTTCTACCGATCCAAAGTTTTGTCTTGTCGAGCTAGGTTGTATGCATCTTTTCAGGATTTTCAAATATTCTGGACTAATAGTTCTAAGGGAGTCTTTGCCATTAAATACAGGACTTATTTTGCCCTCAAATAGAACTTGTTTTCCTAGAGGATTCGTGCTTTTTGTTGAACTGTATTTAAGGGGAGAGATGCTAACAAAAGTTGAGGTTAAAGTAAAGTTAGAATTGGAAGATAGCTTGCAAGAAATATTTAGGTCAAATTATTCCTACAATTGTAACAATGCTTATACAACTATCTTTATTGAATTAGATGAAAATGCTTCTCCTAGCAACAATTCCTTATTTTTGACAGGCATCAATCACCCCTTCATATCTATTCATCCTGTTGATTATTTTCATACTTCTTCGCTCATCAATTTATCTTCAAATGGCTCCTTCTTTATACGAAAAGCTTTTGATTATGAAGAGGTTAAATACTTCCTATTCCGTGTATTCAATCAAATTAGTCTCGTTTTTCAGAAGCCAGAAACATGTTTAGTTAATATAATCGGACTTATAAAAGATGTAAACGATAATTTTCCCCATTTTATTAGTTCAAACATTACCATTATTTTGGATCCAAGATCATTAGTTTATGGTCAATATATTTTGGAACCAATCGCTATAGATAGAGATGAAAATGATTTTAAAAATCTTATGTACGAGATTGACAAATATCACAGCTCGTTTGAAGCAACAGAACATTTTGGTATTCAAAGAGTCACCGGGATAATTCGTTGTATTGCAACAAAACCAACCAATTTGAGGTCACCTGTGCTACTTTCCGTCTTGGTCTCTGATGACAGTGGTAGATACAGCAAGAAAGCTATTTCTGTAAATATTATCTTTAAAAATTCTTCTTCAACGCTCAAAAGTGTGACTTGTGTACTTACTGAAACCTTACATTCGTCATTATCTACTATTAATTCTTCATCACACACGAATTCGACTAGATTTTCTTCAATCAAGTTTGAGGATGCTCCACGCATTTTAAACCCCCGTTTCTTTATGCTTAGAGATGTTAAAAAATCGCCCTTCTATGTAGAGTCAGAGACTGGTATTATATATTCAAAAAGAGCTCCAGAATGCAAAAATATTAAACTGGGGTTACTTATAGAATCAAATGAATTATTGCCTTCTGGTGAAAATGAATATTTTGGATGCAACCTCTTTCTTTCTTGCAATATTACACAAAAAACATCTGAAATTTTGGTAGGCTTTCTGGTGCCAACTTCAGATGTTAATAGAACTTTGATACGACAAGTGTATTTCAGCAACGAACATGGACTACCGGACTATATATTTACTATACCACCTGATGCCCCCGTCGGTTTTTTGGTTGGAACTTTACATGCCTATGGAAGCAAAGATATTAATCTTGAATTTAAAAAACTCAATGAAAATCAAGCTTATCCATGTTTACATTTAAATGCTGAGTCTGGGAATATCCGTTTGTGGTGCCCAGTGAAAGAAGTTTGGCACAAATTTCCAATTGAATTCCTAGTGGGCCTTGTTGTCAATGGAGCATTATCAAAACTCAAGGGAACACAGGTTTTAGTACGGATTTTGAGGGAGAACACAAATTTTTCCGAAAATTTGCCTTCTTTTCCTGTCTTCTCTGCTTCTGAATATCATTTTTATGTACATGAGTTTGATGCCTTACCGAATCATATTGTTGGCCGGCTGCTTGCTGTCGATGCGGATACAAGGAAAGCTCTTTTACCAAGTGCATGGATTACTTTCGGCAGAAGCGAATCCAGAGATTCTCATTCAATAAATCCTGAGTCAAAGGAGTTTACTTCAAAAATTGGAATTTTTCCAGATGGAACTGTTTTTATTGATTCTTCACAACCTTTAGATCGTGAGCGTAGTGCGTATTTGGTTTCTTTTGCCTTTCTTAACTTTTCTCATCCAGGTTCCAGTCCCATTCTTCACTATTGTCGAATCATACTTTATATTCTTGACGACAATGATAATGAACCTGTTTTTATTCAGAGCTCATATACATTTGAATTGGCTGAGAAGGCAAAAATTTCTGAAGTATTTGGGCGTATTTTCGCAATAGACGCGGATCAAGGTCTAAATAGTCTTATAACATATCAAATTATGTTAACTAACTTGCACGATGAAAGCCACATTCTTCCATACATAGAGTTAGATCCATTGACAGGGGAGTTTTACACCTTAGCCCCCATAGACCGGGAGTCACTTGTAACTATTCCAGGGGTCCACCTTTATAAAGAAGATCCTTTATTTAATCTTACTATTGTTGTCTTGGACAGTGGAACCCCTCGATTGAGCAGCTCAGCTATAGTGACAATAATCATCAAGGATGTCAATGACAACCCACCTAGCTTCTCTTCCTCAGTCTATTATGCCAAAGCCCTTTTGAATGATTTTAGTCAGTCAACAAATGACACTTTTATCGTGCTTGGTCCCGAATATTTGAAGGTTTCTGATCCTGACTCATCGAAGCTTACAAACCTGCACTTTGGTATAACTTCTGTAATTTGCGAGACTTCTCACAATTTGGACATTAACTTTAGTATTGAGGAGACCACCGGTGCCCTTTCTATTAGTTTTGGATCTGGGCTAAGTTCTAATGTGCTTTCCCATAGTGTTTACTATCATCTGTTGATATTTGTCACTGATCGCACGGACAATCAAGGACTTGCTTCTCATAGTGAAGTTATCATCGAGCTTGAGACATTAGACGAAGCTTATCTTAGTCACACTTTTCAAGCAGCTCCGTGGAGGGGAAGCGAGAACGGAATCCGGATCACACAGCTAAGCGAATTCAATTTCTCAATAGTTGTAAATATCGACTACTTTGCTATGGGCTCAATACTGTTCAGTTTCACTTCTGCCTCCAAAAGCCGTCATATGAACAAGCACATTGTTGCAGAAACACATTATCATCTTCAAACCGGAATTATGGACGACTTTCTAGCCTTGGATAGCAAATGGGGCTTTATCTACCTGCGGCGCCCTGTTAGCACGGAGCATTTGAATGTAATATTAACTTGGGAGCTCAAGGCATCTACTGTTTTGCCTTGGTCGGGTTTCCATGCAGTGAATGAGACGATTTGGGTTTCTTTCCTGTTTTACTCAAATCAGTATAGACGACCGACTCTTATTCTACAACCAGAGGAATATCTGAGTCATGTTTTGCTTCTTAATTGTGATACATTAGGGGATGATCAGCGGCAAATAATAGGCAAACCGATTGGATTGAGGTTAAAAGATGGAACATCCCACAAACCTGCTCTACAGTTTAAAACAAGCTTCCATGTGCCAGCTTCTACTCATTCTCTGGTGCGCTTGAATAGTAGTACCGGATTCTTCGAGGCCTTGGAAGTCGGATGTGCACTTCAGACAAGAAAATTGGTGTCACAAGCAAGTAAGAGGGGTGAGGCCATCTTGGAATTGGATGAAATGGACGAACTAATGTATAATGATTTGAAGGATAATAAAGGGGAACTCATCACTATCGGTGCCTACGCATGCCTTGATGACTCCTACTGTACCCCTCTACGGCGTATTGATATCCTCATGATACATAGGTCATCAAATAAAGGGGCACCTTGTCGGCACACTGAAACAGCTCCCCTTGTCTGTCCTTCGCAAACAGTCATGCTTCTAGACTCTCTCAGTCTCTTCACTGCCACCGACGTTGCTGGTGCACAGCTTGACCCCTTCAGTCTTAACTGGTCGTTACCATTTCGTTTGGCCCGCCTTGATGGTCTACCGTTATCCGCACTGCAACGCGAACCCCCTCCAGTTGGTGGCTACCGATGGAGCCGAACTGAAACTGGGGGGGCAGAAACCGAAATACAGACCGATTGGGAAGGTGCTTCTACGGATATTCTTGTGCATCCTAGCAGCGGCCTGCTCGAACTACTTAACGTATACAGACTTGCCGAGTTAGTCACACGGCAGAGGAGCATTCTTGATCTACCTCTTGAAGTTGTAGAAGCTGGAGTTGCATCGAGAAGGCCACAATTCTGCCCTATCCGACTGGTTGTCCCACCTCTGTGCAGTCTACCACATTTGGTCAATAAGCCAGCGTTGCTGCAGCCAAAACAAAGAAGCTATTTGGCTAAAGTAAGATTATTTTATCTTTAGTTTCTCTTCTCTGCTTCCTACTTTTAATATTGCTCTTAGTATTTTATTATTGATCCTACCTTGAGCTTATCGCACTGGTGTATAATTATTACTATTTGTCTTGGCTATACCCATTATTATCAACCCATCACTAATCAAAAATGGCCTTCTTTACAATAAGCCCCATACTCTACATATGAGGCTATTTTGTTTCCAAAAAAACATCTGAACATTTAGATATAAGATGCCTTAGCTAGACCCTTCAGCTCGTTGTGTGATTCACAGTTCAGCTGTGATTTTTGAGGTTAGTCAGCCTCTTGTTATTCATATTCTTAAGGTCTACAAGAATTCCATTTAAGTATTTTTTTGTGGTGGAGACGTATTTTATATCTCCCCCTTTACTTCCGGCGTTTTCGGCTTGATAAAGATTTGCATGTACACAAAATTAGGATAATGAGCATAATAGGGTCCCGCAGTATAAATCAGGCCAGCCAAGCTTGGGTAGTGAATCTCTAGACAATTCATAATTTTTACTTGATATGTATGCCGGCTACAATAATCTTGGTGATCATTATTGAAAAAAAGCCAGAGAGATTGGTCTAATGCCAAAACGCTTTGCTGAATATAGGGACTATATCAGTTAGCGAAAGAGTTGGAAAGCGATAGAAATCAACACAGACAACACTGAATAGAAGGAACGAATGTAGGAAGTTAAGTGTAAACTACTGGTGGCTGTTGGATAGGGTTAGAGAGAGAGAGATATAAAGGAGGGAACAGGAGGAGAAGGCATGAATGGGCTGGGAGCTGGTTTTGTCTCTCACATCACACTCATTTCAAGAGCAATGCATTCGCACAAGACGCGTGCAATGGAGCACAATCACATGCGGTAGCATTGCAAGATCAAAGGTATACATGTTTTATGGGAGGATGCAGCTTTATGGTCACAATTGCATCCGTTTCACGCTTCCTCTGCTGCCACTTCACATGCCATCCAAAGGCACTTAACTGAAGTTTTGAGCAAACATTTAGGCAAAGCATAGGATATCCAACTAAAACATGAGATACCTAATTAAGTGGATCAAATTGGACTATAAGAAGTTTTTGCCTGTTTGCGCTTTACACAAGCAATGAAATGCAGAAGTATAGTATAATGCCATAAAGTAGTTAGCGTCGGATACAAAGTGTTCATGCGCTTTGTACTTCTTCCTCACACTTGAAACTTTTACAGCCCTGGATAATTTAGCTCATTTAAACAGTTAGTATCTGTACGCTCGCAGTGCTTGCTCTGGACTCGTGCTATTTATTCTCTAACAACTTTCAGCTACCCACGCTAGATCCTCCTTATAAATTAGTGTATGTAACTATTAAATAATAACTGTTTTCACCCTTGGGTACACAAGGCGATGACGCACTGACACTTAACTTTTACTACGATGCTGGAGTAGGCTTCATTGTGTTATTTAATTTCACTTAACCCTGTCTATCTTTAGAGGTATTCTCGTTTAGGGTGGACTGCAATTTGGACCTCACCTCCAACGGTAATTGAACCCTGATCGTGCGCGTAAAATGGCCACATAGCCGTTGTCGAAAATAAGTAACATATTAGATATGACTCTTAGGGTAAGTCTGACCTCTCCCATATCTCATTTTATAGCGAGATTGCCGACTAAGCAAGCATTCATTCGCTAATACAGTAGATTACGTTGCTTGGAGCCATGATAAGGCGGCTTCGAAGAGTATCATGAGACCTATATGTATCAATGGGCAAAAGCTCCACTATCAGTCCTTCATTATTTTATGCGATTTAGAGTCAATAGAATTCTTATTCAGGACAAGTTTTCATTTAAAGCTATTTCGAAAATGACTTTTATCACGGCATATTGGCCTCAACTGATTTCAATTCGGACCGCTCACAATGAATTGAAGATACTGCTTAACTTTTGCTTTATATATATTTTATAGAACTGGGTTTTGAAGATTGCATCACATCACTGGACCTATCATTTCGAGGGAAAATTTGGTTTAAGGTACTCGCAAGTTAGTCTCAATGGGCACAGGTAGAGAGATTGACTTTGAAGTGCGACTGTTGATTTATGCGAAGAAGTTCTCACTGCACTGTCCTGCGGCGTCGGTGAATCCTTGTTGAAATTTCTGTGCTATAATATAGATCACAAAAAGCATAAATCATCTTTAAGAAAACTAACCAAGCACTAAACCGAAAAAACGGGCCAGGGAATTCAATTATAGTTACCTCTTTTAATCTAATTTTGACATTTTAATGAGTGTCTAGGTGTGCGGTTTATTGGCGTTATGTATGAGATGCTCATGAGTCACGTTAATTATTAAAGCTCATACCAGTCTCCTCTTACTTGGGGGTTCGTCCCTCTCTCTACACATGATTTATTCCAACACCCACAATTCATTCCCGCTTGGTTTCCTAAGCCCATCCCTTTCATTGTTCTATTAATTTCTATTTACTGCTGAATTTTCTGTTTTGACAATAAATCTTTCCCATCTTTTGAAACGTTGGTTTTTAGATCATTCTGTCTGGTGTCTTATGTTAACTATATGTTCAGCGACTTTTAATTTTTGAGCCATAAAGCTTTGCAGGCTATTTCATTTTCAGATTTGTCCTTATTAACGAGTCGCCAGATGTCCCCCATATATACGCCAGCGTTTTGGTACAGAATCTCATAACAACCTTAATCGAATAGAGAGTCCGTGAGTTTCAATAAGAGGGCCTTATTGTGGGCCTGGTTAGTTTTTCTTAATGCATGGTCCTGATGTTCCACTTCCTCAGTAGCATTCAGATTCTAGAGCAATTATTCAACTACCTTCTTTGTCATAAATAGCCCTTTCTATTCATCATATTTCTTAACAGTATGAAATAGTTGACACTTGGTTTTAATGGATAAATGTTCTGAAATATCATTTTTAACTTTTCGAATTCATGATCATGAGGGCTAAAAATGGGAGCATTTACTTTATTTCTTCATTAATCTCTTGCCTATCCGTGATTTTTTACCATCTTATTAAACAAAGAGTCCTATTACCATCTTTTTTTGGTGATATACGTTGGTTTATATGTTGATAATTAGCATCAATAAGGCCATTCTTTATTTGAGCTCATCATTTTAGTCATCAGAACTATATACATCTTTAGTCTTCAAAAGATTTTTCCAACTTGGTAGAGGTCTGCGTAGCTTTAACACATTTAGTAAATGAAGGATCACTTCAAAGTGAAGTGCTTATGAAGATCCGTCTGCCGAGAAATTAAATAATTTATCATAGCATCTTCTGTAGATGGTTTCTTGCACTTTGTAACGCATTAATGTCCCTACCTTAACAAGGTTATTGGCCCTGTTCTCACATGGCTTTTTGGACACATAATCATTTAGTGAACCTACAAAACTAATGCATCTTCCCTCATTATCGCCTATTTATAAGTGCTGATAGAACATAGCTACTAGCCGAAGCCAAAGATTATCCTTTATTGTTTCCCGCGATTTCAGTAGATGTCTTCTTGATTTGTATTACGCTTCCAATAAGCCAATCATCCTATAAAACTCTCGTCTTGTGACGCATAATAAAGACTTGACTCTAAAAACTCAGCATAGTCTCGCCATATCTGGCTAAATGGCCATTACTTTAAGGACATGGAGCATTTTTATTTGCATTTTTCGGAAAAGTTTTTATCCCACACAAAATAAGTAAGACTCGTCAAAATGGTTATCCACTTGGAGAGGTTTGAATTCGCAGTGGGAACAATTCATCTACTGATAAGGGTTCACGGTTCATTTCCTAGCCTCGTCATTTGAATAAAAACTATTCAGTTTTGATCAATCTTGTCTGAAGTTGACATATGTCATCTAGCTTTTTATTTTTCTTTCCTGTTTAATCTAAAGCGTCTGAACTTTGCGTTTTGTAATTTAGTCGTAGGAGTTTGGTATTCAGGTCTCATTCTTGTTGGCTTATTTCTTTAGCTTCTAGTTTTTATGTTTTGATTGCAATCCTCTTTTATGAACAAAATGCTAAGTAAACGATTCAACTTTGAAAGATTCATCATATTTATCTATCAGTGTAAAGCCCTGAAAAATTAAATCACGTAGACTTTGAGGCATCACAAATGTCATTTTGTATGTATGTTTGATGATATTGCTCTTCCCTTCCTTCAGCACAAAAAGGATGAATGGCTTATTTTGTTGTCCATTTTAAAACGAAGCATTCATTCTCACTTAAACGGCTGCCCTATCTTGGAGACCAGGAATTAATCTAAAATGTATTGCAGATTTTAGAAGTGACATCTCAATTCAATTCTTTTGATTAAGAATCCTTTTGCCTCCTTTACGTAGATAATTTTTGTATTAATTTTGATTTGCGAGGTTCACAAGTTAGTAACTTATTGCGATGACAATTTACCTGTATATTATGCTTACTGTCAAAATAAATATTACTACAATAGGTGCATTATTGCGGAAGTAGACTCATCAGAAAGATCCTCAAATACATAATACATACTTCAATATTTCTAGTGTGATGAGAACACATGGTTAACTTCGTAGACAAAATGAGCTGTTTGACATTTGAGCTGCCCTTGATCAATCGATAAGGAGGCTTAAAGGTTACACTACCGCCTATCAAAAGTCCTTCGAGTTTCCCTTTAGGTCGGGTGAGTTTACCAATAAGGGGCTCTACTACATATCTGGTTTACTGTTAGAGATATGACGAAGTTAGCTGTCAGGGCAATGCCTTGCGGCTTGGATAATATTGTTGAGCCAATTTTCGCCAGTACCTACACACAAATAGCCCAGCACATAGTGGACTATTATCAATCTATCTCTCTATGCTACAGCGGTCATCTTAGCAACCCATACGATATATGGTGTATTTGCCAAAGAAACAGATGTGAAAGTGTGTGATGAATTTTAGGTCTCTCCCTAACACGTGTGGTCTGAAGACTTTAAATACAAAAAAATGGGGTTAAATGTGATAGAATTCATAGAGAGATGAGGGTAGATAAG